CGGTTTTATTTTTCATATGATAAAATCGATTAAAACCGGTTTTAACATATGAAAAATAAAACCGGTTCTAAACTCTACGGCAGCTAGGTTCAATCACCAAGCTCCTGCTACATAAACACGCGCTTTAACTGACCCTCTTTTTGTTTATCTACAACACAAGACAGAGGTCGAGCAACGCGAGAAAGAATTTGAGAAACAATTGCAACGCAAGACAGAGATCGAGATCAGACCTATGTCAAATAAAGTTAGTACATTAAAGTATTTTGCTAACTACATCAAACGGTCCTACGCTCATATGCCCACGGGTTGGACAACATATGACCGATGCTTGGAAAGTTACTCCTTAATGTCTACCTGGACGCGTTTAGCACCTGCTAACTCCTCCAGTGTACACCTCTTAGCGGGTTCTTTACCAGAAAGCCGGACTTGATGATATCCTACGCCCATGTGCCTACATTTACTTGTGGATAACATATGGCCGATGTTTGGAAAGAGCTCCTTAATGTCTACCTGAACATTGTTTTGGCACTTGCTGAACTCCTTCAGTGTACACCTCTTAGCGGGTTCTTGACCAGAATATCATCTCGTCGATGTAGTATCACAATTTAACCTTTTTTCTAACCTTTGGAGTTTAGCTTTTAAATATTGAACTTTCATTAATATTTTTTTTTTTGTTATTACTCTGAGGTAATCTCCTCTTTTTTCAAGACAAAACCATATAAAGAATGGTCGGTACAAGCGTGTCTTCAATACATATTAGAGAGTGATGTTATAGATTTTGATGATCCAGAATCAATTCTTGATGCTATAAAAAAGAAACTTAAATCAATAAGTAATCGGAAAAATTTGTTGAGTCATGCACAAAGTAAAGCTGCATCTCTTTATTCTTCATTCGACAAGACGGTTAAAAGGACGAAAATCAAAAATTTAATTGAGAGAATAGAAAAGAAGGCAAGTCGATAGTTTAAATGAAATTTAGTTTATTAATAAGAAGAATAAAAGTATTTTATTCATTACAGGCCGAATTTGAGTCTAGACGATTACTGTACAAAGAATCAATGAAGATTGAGAATATTAATGATAAATTGGAAATTGCTTCAGATACAACATTGAAAAAAGAATCAGTAAATATCTTGTTTTTCTTTAAGGCAGCAAAATGAACAAAATATATAACTATATTATTTTTATATTTTCAAGATGACAGGTCAAATGAATAAACGGACAGCAAGAAGTCCTAATCTCGAAAGAACAAAAAAACGTACCAAAACTAACAAGGTAATTATTGTTATTAGCTTTATATTAACTAGACTAAAATTTTAAGCGTTACCACTAATTGATTATCTCTTACATACAACCAGAATAGAGATTATAGTGAAAATAGCGATGATAATTTTCAAGGGCCTGGTGAAAGCTCATCCACTTCTCTCACCAAGACCAATTTTTTGATAGCGGATAAAACTTTATCCAATGATGAAATCGAGTTAACAAATAATTTGGTAATTGCAATGATATGATACCTTTCTCTAAAGTGTTTTGTTATATAAAATATAGGCGAATTTTATGTGTATTTATTTATGATTGCTTTCTTATATCTAAAGAACAAAGAACCGGTCAAATTGAATGTTTCCAAGAGGGTATGTATAGGATGCAACCAATGACAAGGAGCGAATTCCTCATTACTATTTGTTGTATAAACAGATCAAGACCACTAGCGAGAACGACAATGGTTCATTTCCTAGTACTGAAAGTCTTAATTCGGAATCATCAACATCAGATTCAACATCACAAATCATTAATTTAGACGAGAATGACGAGTTTGTTAATTCTACACAAGATATTGAGGTAATTTTTAGTCAGCCGGGCATTCTTTTGAATGAAGGCTAGGGTTTTTGTTCGAAATTTATATTTTTATATTTAGTGAGATTTTACGTAAGTTTCAGTAAATTAGATTTCATGTAATTTCCATCTAATATGCAAATACCGGGATTACAAAAAAGTTTGGCCAATGTTAACAATATCAGGCTCTTGAGAAAATTAACATCCAATCAGCCAAGAAAATATATTGAAAATGAAACTTAGAATTATGGAAGGATACGCTAAGTCATTGTATTATAATAGTACGGATATCATATGTGCGGACAATTCCCCTTAACACTGTTTTTCATGTTAACGTGTCATTTGACGATTCGTATTGTAGCACCACCTTTACGCTATTAAGTCCCTAGCATTACCACCCTAAAAAAAATTCGTTACCAGCGTTATGGTTAGGGTTTGGGTATTTTTGGATTTTAGTCCAGCTCGATAGCGAATTTGTTTTTTGGGTAGTGACGCTAGGGTGATCACAATATTTAAATAATTAAAATTAATTTATGCAAAGTTATCATATGTTCAAAGTTATGATTACCGAAATTACGCAAAATTATCATATACTCAAAATTATGATTACATGAAATTCTAATTTACTGAAATTATGCAAAATTCATATAAAATTTTACGATCATAATGAAGACACATATTTTAATAGGTTATGTTTGATAATACATTTGAAACCTTGGCCAAAGAAAGCCTCGTTGGAAATGGAGAATGGATTATCGGTTCTGGTAAGATTAATGTGCGTGAATTATTAAAAAAATGGAAGTACGAAAAGGATCGTCCACATAATGAGTAAGTTGCAGTATTCTGGTTTTACAAAGCATCAAAGTAAATGGTGATTGATTATCATTACGTTACATTAGCCTTGGATATTATGATATCATTGACCTAACACCCGGAACCAACAGTGATTTTATCAAGTTACTTTCGAAATCTGAATATGAAGAAATAAAATCTTTCAATCCACCGAAACTACCTAAGATTAATAATGATGAAATTAAAGAACTAATCGTTAGAATGGTGATGGTAATCGATAATTTTGTTATCATTATTGATTGTCTTTCAAAAATTTTAATTAACAGGTTTTTTCATTATAGACACCTAATTTTCAACAAGCAGTAAATGAAAACTTTCTACCAACACGAAATAATAAAAGTAAGGAATTTGCGTGGGATTTTGCATACCATCTGTAAGAATCATTTTAGTTAAGGCTTATAAAAAGCTTTATTGACACCCGCATGTATTGATTTTTATTCTCTTTTGTAGTGCCAATTCTTTTGATCATGGGAATGATCTTCTCCACCCCAATATGTCGGAGAGAATGTATAGAGAAGTTTTCTTGACACCCATAGTTAGAAGTTTATTTCAAAAGGAAAGCATGAAACTGGATGTTTTTTTGTAAGTAATAGATTGTATTATTTTAAATTCTTAATTTTAATGATCAGATAAACATCAATTTGTTATCTATCAAGTGGAGAGGTGTGTTTATATGCATCAGCAGAAGACGCAGATTTGAAAAAAAATGATGTAGAAGAACGAAATCCTGGACGAAAAATTGACATTGTTTGGACAACAAAACCTCCAAAAGTTGAGTTTGCTATTTGCGAGGTCAGCGGACCCCCTAACCAACGCCAACATTCACATTTCTTTAATGACAAAATAAAAATTGGGAAGATGCTAAAGATAATGTTAAACAGGATAGTTAGAGTTTATGGTGGGAATAGTTCAATCTTTAGTTTGTTGAAACTTTATGGATTGCAAGTATATGGTAAATATTTATCAGTACAGTCAAAACTCGATACATCAAAGTTCATAATTTGATCCTTTACTATATGGAAATATTCGATTACCATTAAACAAATTTGCAAAAATTTTCGCTATTTCAAAATATTTGTTATGTAAAAATTCGTATCTTGAGCTTTGACTATATTAATAAAAATTTTTTTTTGTCTTAATATTTTTAGATCATAAGGTAATCATATACGAAATGACTGTACCATTTCGAGAATTATATATATTTAGAGAAGTTGTACGATCACAATTACCAACCAGTAAAGTCAACATAGCGCAAATGCGTCAATGTGTCCCAATATTTCTTTCATTTAAAGTATGCGTTATTATGTTTTAACATGTCTTTTCAATTAGTTCTTGAACTAAATTTATTGTATTGTCTATAGGAAATGATTCTAAAAAGTTTAAATGATTTACATGAATATATTATGGAATCCGGCCTTTGTACACCACCTGAAAAGATTAAAGCTTCTCAATTTGTTACAGAAATGACGTATACGCCCATATCAAAAGAAGTCGAAATAGGCAAGAGAGGAGGAATAAAAAAGTAATTCATATTACGTTAGAAATTGTCAGAAAAGTGTACTCTTTTTATTAGTTATCAACTCTGTTGTATCAATGTAGAATAAAACTATAAACATAGTACATATTTGTGAATAAAGTATATACCTCCGTCTTTGCTATTTTGTGCAAATATGTTAAGATAGCCATCATCTGAGACCAGTGTTTGATTTGGACATACCGATACGTATAAAATTTTATTTGGACAAATTTGGACATATAAAATTTTATATGTCCATCCAAATAAAATTTTATATAGTCCAAATGCAAACACTGTCTGAAGACTGTGTTCGGAAGAAATAGAAAAAAATTTCGGAATGCTTTGCTAGAGGCTGTTGGCATAGCCGTAGCAAATTTATTGAATCGTACGAATACTAATGTGTACTAATAAAAATCGATTTTATTTGACATATACCTTTTTTTTTTTTTGAATAATTAGCATTTATTTATAAGCTTAATTAAAATAAACATTATGAGAAGAAATTTCGCGAGCCTCAGATTGCTCAAAATTTCCAGAGAAAAATTTCTGATTATAAATTCCGAAACTTTCGAAAAACTACATTATTTACATAAACCAGAAACAATTCGTCCTAATTGTCGCATATTATTAATTTGTACAATTCTTTTTTTAAGGGTAGAGTACATGTAGATTATTTGAACAACCCTAGCTGATTGCCGACAAAAATGAATTTTTATTTAATAATAACTTTTTTTTAGTGAATAAAAATGTAGATTAAAATAAATATACAAGATCACTAAAATAGCTTTAATATGCAATTAATTTTTTTACACGAAAAAACTAAATGTATTATACACAATCTAGCTAACAAACTTATGACTTTACGATTTTTAACGCATTAAAAAGAACTTTATTCATAACTAACTAAATAAATAACACGAATAAAAAGATATAACATGTTATGGTTATTTTAAGCATTAAAATCCTTTGTATTCACTAGCTAAATTAACATTAATAAACAAGAGGCAGAGTATGAAATATTCATGAACTTAAATAGATTATTTAAACGATCGATCAAAAACTTTATACTTAATTAACTAACACGAATAAACAAATAGTATTCAGGATCGATTTTGAAAATCGACTAGTCTTGTTTTTTTTAAAAAAAACAAAACACCTAATTTAAATATATTATTTTATTCTTAATCTCTGAATTTTTTTTCCACAAATTCCTGACCAAAGCATTCGTGCTTTAAGTTCGTCGATAATAATTTTTCAGTATTGAATAAATGCTTTAATCTTAATACTGCTCACATATTGAATAAATGCTTTAATATTAGTACTGCCTACTTAACAATAGAATTGAACAAAATGATGTGAACAGTACTATGTGGTGATACTTATTTATAAAGAAACTTTATATGCAAAAGTCACAGTGAAGCCAAAATGAAAGTTAAAGCGAAAGTCAAAACAAAAGGAAATTCAAAGCGAAAGTCAAAGTCAAACCGAAAATTAAAGCGAGAGTCAAAACGAAAGTCAAAGCGAAAGTCAATGCGAGATTCCAAGTGAAAAGCCAAACTAAAAGCAAAAATAAAGTCAAAACGAAAGTCAAAGCGAAGGCCCTAATGTTTATCATTATTAAGGGGGAATTTACAAATAAGGGCCCGAAAAATGAAAATAATTAAATTAAAAATAATTTCATATAAGGGCCTAATTTTTAAAAAATATTACATATAAGGGCCCAAAATAACTGCGATGCATAAGAAATGTAAGCATCGATAAATGTAGTTATTCGGCATTTTCTATTTATCGAATTTTGCAAATACCAACTGTTATCCGGCATTTGAAATTTTATCATTTTTATGAACATGAGTTACACAAGTTATCCGGATTTAAAATATATTCGGACAACTTGCGTAACTCACGTGCATAAAAATGATAAAATTTCAAACCGGTCAACAGTTAGTACGCAAAATCCAATAATATAAAATGCCGAATAACCCAGTTATTCAAGCACGAAGTACTCATAACTACGGTACAATAGTGTTCTAATTTTAGTAAAGCGCTATCGCGCTTTACTAGTATTAGAACACTATTGTACCTTACCATTATTTGCCATATGATTTGACTGGTTGAATTTTAAGCACTGAAGGTGCTTAAATCAACCAATCAAATAGCTTACAGCAAATAACTCAGTTACTTGGCACTTCGTGCCGGATAACTATTAATTATTATGTGTATAAGAAATGTAACGGTCAATTGTAAATTATAAATAAAAAATTTTTTAAATTTAATAAATTTCATTTCTTTGTATAAAGTTGCTTATTGTTATAACAAATCACTATGATTCCAAGTAAAACACTGCAAATTGGCATGACATTTACTAATATTGAAGATGTTTATTCAGCTTTAGAGAGCTACTCTGTTGAAACTTCTTCACCTTATAAATAATTATGCTAGTTTATTGCGGTTTGCAAAATTATGTAAATTTAAAGAAAATTAAAAAAAGTAATCACTGATTTCTGATTACTAATTTTTGATTTCTTCAACATTTTTTTTGACTTTTAGACTTGACAAAATTTGCGCATTTATTATTTGTAAAAATTTGATTGAATATTTTAATTCATAACATCTATTTTGCAAATACATTGCAAAATGATGAATATACAACTTTTTCTATAAAATACTAAAATTTTTACAAAATAATAACTGTACAAATTTTGTTTAATCTAAAAGACAAAAAAATGTTGAAGAAATCAGAAATCAGTAATCAGAAATCATGATTACTTTTTTTTAATGATCATCAAATTTTATATAATTTTGCAAACCACAATAATATATAGATATTCTGCAGATGATTTTAAATATCATGAATATTTTTTTAGTCACATACTAGATGTGAAGTTTGATTGGCCAAGAATCAGCCAATCAGATTTTATATCTAGTATGCGACCAAAAAAATATTCACGATATTTTAAACTAATTTGATGAATATCGGTATTATTACTGCAGTTTTTGACAATTAAAAGTCCGATTTAATTTTATGCTATAAATATAGAAAAAAATTGTGCATTCTTTTCATAAAAAACTGTATAATAATATACAATATTTAAGCAAAAATAATTATAATCAGATCTTTATTTATTCTTTATCTAATAATCAGTATATTGTAATATGCTTGCTTGGCTTAACTAAATACTAAATATAACAATAATAAAATGTGTCGTCGCCAGTTAAGTCAAACAAATATATTACTTGACTTAATGTATAAGAGTGGTTAAGGAAT